TCAGAACATTTGCTCACACCGTTTTTTCAGGATAATTCTTCTAATTTTGAAATATGATCCAAGAATAAGTATAATCATAATTATAGACAACCCAATCCCTATCTATGACTACAATATTTCTAATAAAAATCTGGATATATAAAGTGATCCCTCGGAATCATAAATCACAACAAAATTACATGAAAATTGTAGACTCGTGGGATTGAGTCTGTACATGAGGGATAATGAAAAAATGCGACAGCCCTCAATAAGGCTACTTAAATGTATTAAAACAGTTATGTAAAGAACTGGCATATTTAAAGTTACTTAACACTTTATAATGAAGGCGTCATGACTAACGAAATTACAGTCGCCTGTATATGTATCGCTTTTTTTTTTTTAAATTAAAACTTTTGAAAATTTTTCTTTTCCTTTGAATAAAATTTTGAAAAATAATTTGGGAAAACTTTTTGGAAAAATTTTTAAAAAAAAATTTTTTTTTTTTTTTCATTTTTAGATTTCTTGTTTTTAAAAAATCAAACTTGGCACTTTAAACCCTATGTTGCCCCTTTTAAAGGATAATAATATTTTTTTCGTTCTTTGGGTGCAAATTTCTTTAGTTGAAAATGTAAATATTTCAATTTTGGGAAAATACACATTGATTTTGATATTTTATGTCGGTTTGTCAATTTAATATTAACAAACACTTGGTTTTGTTAAAGACAACTACAGCAAATAACAATTTTTGATTAACTTTATAAAATTTACGTGTGACAGAAAACCTAAAAACTATAGAATGAAAAAAGTTCCCCCGGATCATGATGCTAAAACGATTTTTGAAAAAAATCTATGAAATGATGAATGTAAACAGCCTTATTATGAAACAAAATATACAATGTTATAGGAGTAACTTGGATATATGTTTTGTGTTGGAATATAAAGAATGTACTTTATAATGAACTATTTGCGTACATCTGTGGTAGCTTAGATCACAATAAATCGGCGGTTTATTTTATCAACACGTGGCATTTGATACCGATGTTTATTTCGGGCATTTATCACACAGAGAATCAAGCAAACAATAAATATATTTCTTTTCTGTTCACATGAATGTTTCATCAAATGTTTTTGCTTGTTTACAAAATAAATTTTGTCATACCGGCAAATTTTATGTTACTTATTTTCTTACATGTAAATATTTATATATTACTTGTCATTAAAACATTGAGTTCAGATCAATTTTGTGGTTCCCTTTCTATTTTGCGGAAATGATCAAATATGACATTTTCTTTGTTTTGTGAGGTAATCATAATACTTTTTAACCACGTTCAAATCCTTACAAATAATTGAAAGTAAAATATACTGTTGTCGTTGTGTTTAAAGAATAATGCGTTAAATATTGATATGTTTGTGATTGTTGTGGATTTTTAAAAATGGGCTAATTTTTTTTTATCTTGGTTGACTTATGAAATTCAGTTAAAATGCTTTTTCTCTGATTCAAATAAATAAGTTTTCACTTAGTTTATACGATTTTAGTTCGATTGTGTCGGAAGATATAAGATTATTGAAACACATTCGAAACCGTTCCTGGAACCAACCAGGACTAAGAAATGAGTGTAAATGTTCTTGGTCACGAAACAACGGCTTGACCCTGACGAGGTTCGAATTCGTCGTGATCAGCAATCCTTATATAACTTCTAGTCCAACGCCTTCACCACTCAGCAATGCCGCCACTTTAGTTTACCATTGAAGATTTAAGAATTATGTAGTTTACTATTATATGTTATGTCACCTGTTTATACTTTCAAAGGTTTTTATATAGCAGTGTTGTATCAGTAGTATTTGACATTTTATTGTACCTCTTTACAAACAATATATATGCAGTGTCAGGACATCTTCTTTTGATAGGTTTAGATTACACATAGGTAGGTTAACACGGCAGGTCTTCCGATAAGATAGTCCATGCAATAGTCACTTGCTTTTTTATGAGAAGAAGATGATGATGTGGTGTAAACATGATACTAGTACTTTCCACTTTTGACATAACGTTGCATTGTCTTTAGCGTGATAACGGTCAAAATATTGTCCATTGCGTGCAATACATATGCAAGTTTGCATACTTATATATATCGTTCTGTTTCTGTAATATACAAATAAAATGTAAAACTTGTATACAGAAAATAGAGTTTAAGAAAACGTGTGGAACTACAAGAGCACGTTTACATAGTGTACTGTAAATCGTTTGACTTTGTGAATATTAAATATGTCATTGTAAACGTACTCTTGTAGTTATACTTGTTCTGGAACACGTTTTCTGAAATCGGGTTTAACATTTCATTTAATATCTCAGGTACACAAAGTGTGCAAACTTGCTCATGTATTAAATGCAATGGAAGATACGAACTTGTAAATGTTTTGTTGTTTTCCATGTTAAGTCAGTTGTTAAGATCTACATGTAAACTTGTTATTTAAAAGCGGGTGCCTTCAATTAAAAGACTAGATTAAGAGGCATATTATTTTGGTTTATTCACATGTAAATAGCCTTTCAAAAACATGTACAATGATTTAAATAAAACCAACACATTAGTAGTGCGTTTCAATGACACATGTTTGTTATAATTGAGCAGTCTTGTTCTATAATATTTCATAAAGTATATAATTATGTAAAATACCGTTATTTTTATTTTCTTTTACTGCCAATTGATAGAGTGCTTGGGTTATATTACTCGTGCCGACACTGTAAGTGTCAAATGGCAACTTTCCAGCTTGACTTGTGGAGGAAGATCAAAAAACTCTTTAGTATACGAGATGAGGTCAGAAAATATCCGGACTTTTGACTCGTTCTCGAAAACTATTTAATATTTAAAAAAAATCTTTCTTCTCTATTTCAAAATAATCTTTACCTACGTCTACGCACTTTTGCCATCTTCGTGGGAGCTTTTGTATTCCCGCTGTGAACCATGACGTAGACCTATGTTTTAGGTAATGTGTAACAGCAGATATCAAAGCCGCCCTTGTCTTATATTTCTTTCCAGCAAGCAATTTTTTTTCAGTTCTGGAAAGAAATAAAAGTCACAGGGGGCGAGGTCTGGGCTATTAGGAGGGTGAGACAACAATTGCCATTTGTAAGAGTTGATAACCTCCACTGTAGCTGCGGCGGTATGGGAGGGGGCGTTATCGTGAAGAAAGAGGACATTTTTCTGTGCTAACCTGGGACGCATTTGCTTCAGCTTTTCTCTGAGATTTTTCAGAATTACCTCAGAATAGTACGTTTACTTGGCTGTGACAGTTTGACCTTTTGGCATGAAATGAGTAAGTATCATTCCTCGTGAATCCCAAAAGGCAACAAGCATGACTTTGCCAGCCGAAGGAGACAGCTTAAACTTTTTAGGAGGTGGGGAAACAGCTCGTTTACACTGCTTTGACTGAGCTTTTGTCTCAGGTTCGGAATAATGAACCTACATCTCATCTCCAGTGATAATGCGAATCAAAAACTTATCTTCTTCACGATTAAAACGACTTAAATGTTCTTTTGCATTGTTTACTCTGGTTGCCTTTTGATCTGCGGACAGCTGTCTAGGCACCCACCTGACACTTACCTTGCTCAGCCTAGGTGTTCGTGTAAAATCCTGTGTGCCGATACCTTACTGATGCTAAATTTGTTGGCTACCTCCTCCAAAGTTACTCAACGATTTTTGTTGACAAAAGCTTTAACATTTGCTACCATTGTTGGGGTCACCGCCTCAGCTGGCCGCCCAGTTCTAGGCCTGTCACAAACACTTGTTCTGCCTTCACGAAACTGAGAAACCCAGTTGTAGAAGGTTGAACGTGATACACATTTATCAGAAAATCTTTTTAAGCCTCTGAAAGATGTGGCAGGGCTTTTCACCATCTGCAACCAGAAACTTTATTACAGAACGTTGTTCCTCTAATAAAGAGTCCATGATAGACGAAACACCTATCACATATCAGAGGGCAAAATACTGTGTATTCACAACTATCATTGAAAATAAACTGACCACGTTATTGGCGACTGAATGTTCCAATAAGTAATGTGTGTATATAGCTGCACGTAGAAAGAGAGGAGCATGAAAAGTGCGGATATTTTCTGACCGTCCCTCGTATTTTTAAGGTACGAGTGGGCATCTGAGTAGACCACTGATGTTCCGTAAAGTACGTTCCCATAGCAGTTAAAAATACACTACCGTTAAGCCAGTGAACGGTAGTGGAACATTAGACCGATTGGCAGTAGTATCTGTAAGCCAGCTGGGTATTTTTTATGCTGAAGAGATATAATATAAGTATCTGATTTTCATTTGTTAAAATATTGCAGGTGTCAATTTTCTATTGTTTTTTTCTGGAAGCAAGTGTGATATTTTCATTTTAATTATCATTTTATTTCTTGCATATTACTTCACAAAATTTATTGGCGCCAATTCCATTACATTTTAAAATGTTACGATGTTAATATATTCTATCGTTCCCTCATGCTATTTGGAAGGATTTTTATTCATTTTCTGGGCTAATATTTGCTAATATAGATATTCGTGTTTACTTTCTTCTAAAGCAATTTAAAATAAACATTTAAATGGATATAGATTTATCGAAGGCTTTTACTGCTGACTGAGTAAATTTTATATTCCAGTTTCACTGTTTTAAAGATTGCAGTCAACACGGAGGTTATTGCTCTTTTTAAGAAATAAATCTAATCAAAGAAAACTCCGTTTTTCTAGAATATATATATAGGTATGTAAGTTTTTATAGCTCAATGTAATCATTTCAAATTGTATCTCACAGAATAAAAGATCCTAAATTAAAATGTCTTTGAAGCTTATAACTTACAATGTAATAATTGTAAATGTCATAAATGGCACACTTAGAATTTCAAGAAAGCCAACTCCATTTTTGTAAAGGAGAATCAGTACACGTCTTGATAGATACTTGTCCATAATTGTTCACTGTCAAACAATCAATACTTGTATTACTAATAATAAAACCATTACTTTCATCAAAATTCCATTTTAATTCCGGAACGAATAAGTATTGAACTTGTGTGGGAAATTCAAGTTTTTCTTTTTCTGTCTATCAAACTTAATCCAATGGCTGCTAGTGCGTATATTCATATTGTCGGTGAGTACACAAAACTGGCTCACCTGATCGCCACAATGGGACGTTATAAGCTCGAAAATACCATCAATACTAGTAATTTCTAAACACTGATCTGTAGCATTATTGAAAATGTTCCCGCTTTTACGAACATTTTTCGGGATGAACGGATTTGACATTTTACGAAGTTGGTCAATATAATGTTGATATGGCTTGCAATTATTTAATATCTTTATTTTAAATCTATCTGTAAGGTCACCAGGGTCAATTTGTTTAGAATAGTTGCCTCTATGTAATGCTTCCAAAGCTAATTTTTTGCTTTCACCATCCATCCAAACAAGAATAAATCTGAGCTTATTTTTCTTTTTATAATCAAAATCGGGGTGAATGTTTTGCCAGGGGATATTTCTGTACAAGTGCCCTATTTTAGAGCAAGGTATCATTTCAACACGTCCGCCACAAAGCCATACTTTTACAGACAGCTCTATGTGTTCGAAGCCCCAAATTTCCATACCGGTATCAAATCCTCCAAGTTTGTAGAAAAACTCTTTTCTCATGGCAGTCATCATACCAGGAATAGTGCCATACTCAATTGGTTCAACACTTCCATTTCTTGTGTCCCGAAATGCCCGAGAATATGTCAACCATTCCTCAATTATTGTGATAGGGTCAAACGTACAAAACAGTTTATACTGATCATCTAATATAAATTCAAAGATATCGCGACCAATTTCCCCAACATGAGAAGTCAGTAATACATTTGGTTGCTGAACAAGTCTTAGCAAGCACGATATAGGTTCGTCCCTAAATGTGATCACAATGCTTACTGAAGGCAGGATTTCGGGATATTTTATTTTCTTGCATGCATCAGGCCGTCTGTCTGGAAGAATCCGCTTTATTCCAATAACATCACTCATAAAAACGTTTACACCACTTTTGAACGCATTTTCTCTGATTTGGAAATATTTATTTTCATCAGGGAAAAAAATTATTTCACTTTTAGCACCAGGTCCCGTATAATTTGGAAATTGTACAGTTTCTTTCTTACTATTAGTAAAATTACGTGCTGCCCCCGAAGTAAATATCTTGGGATATCTAATAGATTTAGTGTTCTTGAAGTTTTTATACACGTAATATAATCTACATATTAGTCCTATATGAACGACAAAGGTTAACACTAAAGCAACTTTAAAAATGAATTTACAATGAAAATATAATTTCATTGTGTTAAAACGTATTGTGATTCCTTTTGTATGATATTGACGTTTCAATCACAGTATTTAACACTCCTTTCTAATAATAACAGAAGGAATGTGCACATGTTGTGTTTAATCTCAAGTATTGATGCATACATAATTCAATAAAACTGTTATTTTTGTCTCGCTATTTTATCTTGCAAATGATATTTCATCATGCTTGTTTGTCATAAAATGTACATTCAGCATGTTTATATCCAGTAATGGTACATGAGTCTCAACTATATTTATTTGATATAAACAAAATGATTATCCATTCTTAAAACGTGTGATCTTAATCTAACGTAGTTTAAAATAACGCAATATCTTTGAGATTCTTATTACATATATAAATGATTCATTTAACATTAAATTTTTGGAATATTAAAAATAAATGGAATATAATACAACAGCAACTTGAATAGATCTTAAGCATATAATCGCCAGATTTCTATCTGTGGCTCATCAAGCTGTTTCCGTTTAACTCAGTTTGAATTTGAATATTCGTGTTAAATGGTCATTACATAAACGTTTTTATCCGAGAATAGATTTCTTATTCTTTAACATTCTGTCATGCCACATAATTATAGTTGTCGAGTTGTCACGCGGTTGAACTATCATGCAAATATTTTTTAAAAAAGTATAAAGAATTGTTAACAATGACAAGCTTCCCTTAAAATGTCTATATGCTAAATACTTCAATCAGAGCCATTAGAAAACAAACACAATATCCAAAAACGATGAATACGAAATAAGTATTTTCTGCCTATTGATACGGACTTAAATAGCTTAATCAAAACTAATTCGGAATAAAACACCTTAAGTAAAACTTACAGGGAATAAAAATGGATTGATCCCAAAACAAATACGGAATAAAAATAGTTTAATCAAAACTATTACGGATTAAAATAGCCTAATCAAAACTAATACGGAATTAAAAAGATTAATCAGAAAAATTACGGTTAAAAATTCTTGAATAGAACATTATACGGAAAAAAATAGTAATTGTAACTTAATCAAAACAAATCGGAATGTGACCATATGCAAACAATACCGATATGTAATTATTGCAAGAACATCAAGCAGTCAATACATGCATGGCAGTTTGGGAAAATAACAATCATTATTTTTCCCTAAGTTTTATCGTATGACAAGTATGGATTGATGAAAGTAGTTCTAAGTGTAAATATAAATGATTTACTATAGAAAATGTCTATTTTATTCATATTGGTAATAACATTACAATCGAATCTGACAGGTATCAGGCAACTTAAAGTTATGAAAAAAATATTTTATTTTGTTTTAAAGAAAAAAAATTATTTTCGTGATCTTTATCGAATAAATTTACTTTTTTTGCATTTGCATTACTAAACTTTTTTGTGTTGGCTTATTTCTTCTTCGGAATTATTGCAAACTAAGAAGGGCATCGGCGATATCGTACAATGAACCTATTTGCATAATTGTTTTCAAATGTCTCTACTTCAGTTTGCCTATTTAAAATAATTACATATCGTAAAGTGCTATTTCAATGGTATTGTGTTTTGTAGTCAATAGCAAAGCACAGTGACGCGTGTGTTCATGCCTTAATGAGGTATATGTTTCCTCATCACAATTACAGTGTTTCAGGGGAGTAGATGTCCCTGTACAATTAAGAGGGAAAATTGTTCACTTTCTCAAAGCCATAGCTTGTGTGTATAACACTTTATTACGGATGTTGATTTGCACTTTTGGCCAAATATACATAATTGAAGATATATAGTTAGGAAAGGAGATTTGAAATAGATTCATTTGCTTCTTTTTTAGCTTGTGGTACAACAATTTATTTGCATTTAATACCATTAAATAGACAATTTCAAATACAGTCAAATTCAACATTCAAAGGAAAGCAAACATTTCTTGCTTGCAAACTGACATTTATTTTTTGGACCCTATTTCAACCTGAAATTTTTTTTCAAATTAACATTTATTAAAAAATATTTAAGCATCTCCAAAAATGAGCGTGTAAGTTTATACTCTTAGACTATTGAAAATCTATATTTTCTCTACATGGTGCCATAAGCTCACGTTGTAACATATTTTTTTTCAATTTATCTTAATTTGACTTTGAGAATTTCCCAGTTCTTGTGTATTATTATTGTCAACCATATATGAAAATGGTGTAAACTTGGTTTGATTCAACCTTGCAAAATGCATGTTAATTATTTTAGATAAAATTTTATTCTCGGTCTGGCTTAATTTTGCTAAAATAGAGTATGTGGTTTTTTACAACTACTACTTAGACCTTTTTTTCGTAGACAAAATAAGTAACCTAGCATACATCCTTCTTTTAAAATGAACTGGTTGTCTATTGGTCTGTATAAAACACAACGTGGAACAATTGCAGTCAAAATAAGACATCTGTTTTTGAACTCCTTCCTTAGTTGACTGTGTTGTTTCTACATAAACACGATCTGGAATTATTGCAAATAACACGAGACACTAGTTTATATACTCTTACAAAGGTAAATTTGTCGTAATTTTACTGGCCTAAGTTCATTGTTTATCTCTACATATAGACGACTTTGAGTTTTGCAGATTGATTATCTCTTCAAACAAACCAACTTGAGTTATTGCAGATTAAATGAATCACTTGAATTTATACTTAAATCTACGTTAACTGTGTAACATTTTTTGTCTATGTTAACTAGATGTTTAACCTCATATTGTTTTGTAGCTTGAAGTTGTGTTTGTAACTATTGTATTTGTGATTGAATTTACAAGTAAATGTATTGAAGAGTGAAAACACGAAAACAGTGCTAAAACATGTTACTACCTATGTAAGGAATTATTTTATGTTCATCATTTTTACGTTTATCATATATTCCATAATAACTAACTACCTGTATATTTAAGGTCATCAAAATAATGTAGAACAGTACCAATTCTTGTTAAACTGCAAAGATGTGTAAACTGGACAATCTACACTGGTGGCAAAGCTCAGTCAGCCTTAATCAGCTACAAAATATCAATTTTGCCAATTGGATTAAGCTTTTATTTTAAGATTTGTTATTTTAGTTTATAATCACTAATACCTTCTTTATTGACGAAATAATGAAATTTCATGGAAAATGTTTTTAATTAAATAAATTTGGATTTCCAAGTTCTATTGTTTGTTTATTAGCTTAAGTGTTTGGGTTTATTATGTAAGCCGTTTTTATGTCAGTGCTAAAATTATTAAATTTGCATTATAGATAAATCACAGTGATATATACCTAGAGGAATCCAATACTTTCCTAGAAATCGGACATTTCATTAAAAGTAATCTATATAAATGGCATCAGGTTCGTTTGTTGTATTATGCGAGACAAAAATGTCTGCGTCCAAACAGAATGCATTCTGAAAAATGTTCTTGTATCTCGTCGGAAATCACATTCAGGTTAGTTTTACATATCTGTTTTACACTGAATTTATTGAATGGACTTGCACAGCGTCATAAAACTGCCTTTTATAAATTTCAGGTCAGTCAACAGTGAAGAGTCTTGTAAAAGCCGAAGATTGTGCACGTTTGCTGGCTTTATACTACTTGCATAGACACTATGGTAGCGCAAAGGTGACGTTGCACTTTTTATTTTCATGGAAATGAGATATTATCTTGTGGCCACCAAATAAAGTCATTTAGATATACGTGTCAACATCAAATATCAAATCTAACAGTTTACAATTTGTTTCACAAGCTACGAGTATTTATTCTGTCTGTTTTTCTTATTTCAGGGTGCCTATCTGAATAGTCTTGAATTTGTCGAAATTATCTAAATCTTGATTGTTTTTCTTAATCAACCACCCTCAATGATGCATCATTTGTGATGTGTGAAACTTTATAATCCTGTTTGTCTGTTAAAAGATCCTTATAATCCTGACACTGTCTGTTTAAAAGCACAAACAATTAAGACGTATGGTTAAATTGGAAGTCCTTGTCTACAATATTGTTACGCTGTACACAGAAATTGATAAACTCTTCTTAAATTCTAAACATTAAAGAAATAAAAACAATATTATTGTCCCAAGAAAGTGTAGTGTTAATGGCGAAATGTCCAAAAGTTATTATGTACATGATTCTTCATTTAAATAATACCTTATAGCAGTAAGAACTAAAATTTTGGTTTATATAATAGAGACTGGAAACAAGCTGCAGACTAAACATTTATGCATTATTGTCAATAGTTAGTAGAAGGAAATACAATGAAACAAAGAATAAAATTGCTTTGCTCAAGGTGAATGCTTACTTTACTAAATTCGTCTTAAATAAAATTATGTAAACATATTTTTAAAATATCTCTACCAGAAATATGGAAGTAAAAACAAACAAATTCAGACATAATTTTTGAAGCAGAAGTCATTGATAATTTTTTATGCTTATCAAATTATTAAGTGTTCATCTCAATCTTAGGGTTAAACTTTTTTACTCCAGCTTTATTCGTTAAGCGTTATAAATATGCAGTATAGACGTAACTAATTATTATAAAACAGCGTTTGCCAATAAATAGGAAGAAACATATTTTGTAATAAATATAAATGTTTGATAGTTGATGGCCAATAGCGTCAGTTGTCTCTGCCTGTTCGTTACTCTTTTATTTTTTTTCACCTTTTCGCCATGAGTAAAACCTTGCAGTGCTTTACCTATGGCAAAACCGTTACTCATAATATTTTGTGTTCCCAAATGTTCCACAATATGGACTCCTTACTGAATTTCTTGATTTTCTTTTAAATTCAATAACGAGTCCATATTGTTATCAAAGAATAAGTGTGTAGTTGTTTTATCAATTGCAATTTTCTTAAGTAATTATTATCATTATTTTCATGTGGTAATATATTTTAAAT